ACCAATATTTATAATAACGTAAACATAGATAATCAATTAAAACAGAGGATAAACAATACAGAGAAATCAGATAAAGCCAATTACCTGGCTTTGACACATATACACAATATAAAAAAAGTACAATATATACAAATATTGTACTTATATTTGTATATAAGTACAATGGGTTTGTGGGTTTATTTATCCCACAAACGAGGAACATCTGCATTTTGCATGACTTTATTTTTTCCAAAGTTATCACAGCAGGGATTAATGTTTAATGGGTAACAACTGGCTGTGAACAAAGCAAATGACTCAGTAATGTCAGTCTTTACAAAGGGGTCAATTGAAGGAAAACCTCTAGGTTGCAAGAACCATGGATTGAGATGAAGAGTCAGGCTCAGAAAACCACAGCCGGGCAGATGATGCTGTCACAAAACTCAGCATCACCATGAGTGAGCAGAGAAGGATCACAAGTGACATTTCCAAGGACTAAGTGAACTGGAAGACAGAAGAGCAGCTAAAGATAGCTGAACTAACTCATGTTAGTTTACGTTTCGTGAAGAAATAAGTTACGCTCAGTGTCCTCTTCTGAGGTTTTCATGTTGTTTCCCACAGGGGATCTTGGTGCAGCGCACCCACAGGTGAGGGGGGGAACAGGTTTTTCATTTGGGTTTGGTGCCAGAAATCCTTGAGCATTTCAATGTTAACATCCTATATCATTGCAACTTGGTTTTAGTTCCCCCAGAAATGGGAATTCACATTGAGTCTTAATAAAAATAAATAAAAATTATTATACTGCATTTACACAAGGATCTAGAGCAAATGTGTCATCATTTACTATATAGTAGATGTGAATGCTTTTTGTATTTATTTTAAACTAAACTATTAATGACAAACTAAGATAGTAGGCAAACCCTTAAGATTAGAACATTTAAACTAAACGTTAAACTCTTTGCTAGTTTGTGTCTAGAAAGCTGATTGTTAACCACGAGGGAAAACACGCCCATCTTTATGAAACAGAAACGATCTCTTAATTAGCTGGAAATTGTTTGCCTACAAACAATTTCCAGAAAATGTTTGCCTACAGGTTTTACAATTTGGGGTTGTCAGCCTCAACAATGTCATTGGACTACCAACCAGCTCCACAGGACCTTGGTTCTTTGTCCACCAAACGACCCAGTGTACCAGTTTGCTAGCAATTGCCACCTATAATGGCGTATAAAATTGAGAAACTCTTGTGGCTTTAGAGACTTCCTGAGACTCTTTCTACATATGTGGCAAGGATGTTTTCCAAATTCAAAGATATCAAACCTATTTTTTTGGAAATAGATGAAAAAAAAAAATTGGAACCAAAACAGACCAATCCAAAACGCCGGGGCACTGCTTTGTGAAGAAATGTAGAGTGTGTTTAGTTCAAAAATGCCATAATAATGATGCTTGAACCCCCGTCCGATCTGTAAGTTCACCTACAGGTAGTTTTTAACCTCTGTGTTGAATTACAGCCAGTTATTCTCTGCAGTGGGTGTTATTTGTCACCATATGCTAGATGGGTGGCCTGAAAATATTTGCTACCATGACCCCTGACCTACAAGTTAATGCATCATAAAAGTTGACAAAATGCTCAGATTATTATCTAAAGAGGTGATAGTTGACTCTCTCCATGATTCCACAGACAGAGTTGCAAGGTGTGAAATCATCACTGAGTTCTAGCTGACATGTTGGTGCAGGTGTGGTTTCACTCAGCTTTGGTGCAAAAATAAGTGTTAAACCCCCCCCCCCCCAAAAAAAAAAAAAAAAAAAAAAAACATACATGTCCTCTTGTAGATTTAATGCAGTAATTGTTGAAGGAGCTGCTGTTCATGCTTGGATCACTTTGGACTGCACCTGCAACACCTGCTAACCTGAAGTATGATTAAGAACATGGTGATTATGGTGATCATCCAACTTCAAACACAAGACCGTAAGTTGCTCACATAACCATGGGCAGGAAAACAAAGTTGGCAATGCTTGAACCAACAGGAGGTAATCAACCTCTGTGGTGTACTGGTAGAGCACAGGGCAGGAAATTGTTTTTTTTTTTAAGAGAAGACAGCGGCTGATAAATATAAACCTTGTTAGAATTTGTGCAGATAACTGAAAATAGTACAAGTGACTTTCAGACAATTACCTGGCTTTGACACAAATACACAATATAAAGAAAAGGTTTGTACTTGTACCGTTTCTCGCAAGCAAGCACGTAAAAAGTAGGAATGCGAGATATAAACAGAATACCAAAGAAACAATAGAAATTTGGCTTATGATAAAGAGGTGCTGCGGTAATGCTTGTTGATGACGACATGCATCAGGCAGAAGAAGCGGAAAGCAGCGCTGCTGAGAGCACAAAGGAAGTGCTCATTAAAAAGGAATGTGCAAAACATGCCTTTTTAAAGCGGGATTCAAAATTTGAATCAAAGGGTTGCTCGAAACTATAAATTGTAAGTAAATCAATAATGTAGCACTGTGCTACATTATTGAAGGTTAAACTTGGATCAGGTCTTGGACTGCAGTCTTCGCGCGACGCTCAGAAGAAGCGCGGCTGATGTCACGGTCAGACAGCGAGAAAACTAGGGATAAAAGCGCATGGAGAGGTAAAGCAGAATGGGTCCAATGGAACCCGTCTATCAGACCTCCAGCAGTCTTATCACGATGCTCAGGAGGAGCACGGCAAATGTCACAGTCGGGCGGGGTGACGATCTGATGGTCTTTCCAAAACAAACCTTGTAAAAGCGCGCATCGGCTCAGTGAGACCCCGCACAGGGTAAAAACTTGAGGTCTAAATGACCCCGTCTCTTAAGACAGAAAAAGAGTTAAGCTGTCAAAAAAAATGTATTTACAAAGTGTGTGGAAGATAAGAAATACAAGCACTTTGTTTCACCACCTTGAAACAAAGAATGGGCAACTATCTACAAGTTCCAGACACAACACTGGGAAGAAAAGGGAGGATTTCACGCAGACATCCATCACCTTAAAGTTGTTGTGTTTCCATATAGAGAAATATATTTAATTTTTTTTTACGTATGTTTGATTTAACCAGGGAGTCATCATTGAGATTAAGCTGGAGCCTATCATAAAAAAAACAAACTATTAAACATTACCAACTAATATCCACAAAACTGAGTGAAAAACTCAGTTTTAACTCTATTGCAAGTTTTATACAAATCATATCGTGATATGCATCATTGCCTCCACCCATCTGACCATGACATCTACTGTGCTTATTGTGAGCGTCGTGCTAAGACCGCCAGGTCCAGATAATTTATGCTTTCGCCCCTGTCTTTTTAATGAGGTCTTCCATTAGGCTCTCAGCCATGGTGGTTCCCATTTGCTCTGTTTTGATTACGGTTACATCATCAACAAGCATTAGCCGGTAGACTACAGATCTCAATCGTGGGCCAAATGTCTACAATTTCCACCATATACCCTGTATGTTGCTCATGCCTAGCATGGCGTCCTGCTTAGTTGTGACACCTTCCCAGAGCGAGACAGCAGCTGATGCAGAACCTAACGTTCAATGACATACTTTTCCCTGCCTTTCAGTGTTTAATCTCATCTCTCTGGTAGACAGAAGGTTTCACTTTGACTAACGGTATGTACTCTCCTTGATCCTACAACGTTGGAAACCAGCTCAGAGCTTTTCCATTTAGCTTTGTTTCTCTTGTAGATGAAGCCACTAAAGAAGTAATAACTGTCAGCTTTTTACGTTTCTCCAAAATAGAAAGTACTTCAGAACTTCAGTGGTTTTTTGTGTGCCTGCCTGCTTTGTCGTCATAAATCCCCGGTCGGCTGTGGCCGATTTCTGCTCACACCGAGCCAGGTTCTGCTGGAGGTTTCTTCTTGTTAAAGGAAAGTTTTTCCTTTTGTTGTCATTGCATGCATGCTCAGTATGAAGGATTCCTGTAAAGTCAACAACAAAATCTTGCAACATGTTGATCCATAAGGAGGGAATGATGCAAGATGATGATTCAATGGAATCCGATGGAATCCGCAGAGTCTTAAGACAGAAAACGAATGAACTAATCTGAATAATAAACTGAACTTGACTGTGTTTGCGTTGCTTGATAACTCTGAATCGTTTTGAATTGCATGCACTTTATTCGGAATCTGTCTCCATGAATGACTTGAACTGGCTTTCTCGTTTCTAAAAACGCCTTAAGAGGACTTACGGAGTGTTCTATGAACAAAACTGATTCGGAATATAAAATAAACGTCAGTATCGCTTCAATTAGTAACAACTTATAGTGAGAGCCATCAAGTCCTGCTGAACTGAACTGACAAAAAGTTTGTCATTCAAATGAACAGAAAAGGGGAGATCTTCTTAATTGTAATCGATTCATATATATATATATATGTTTTAGTAACTCATGCCTGTTTTAGTAGCATGAGCTACTAAAACAGGAAATAATAGTGTCTTGTCGCCTACAGGATGACAACTCAGTTTGTCTGTTCATCCTCCTGTGTGTCTGGACACCACATCCCTGGTGTGTGGTTGAACTGCGTAGATTTGTTTCCACTCAGGATGCCAGAAGGTCACAGTGAGAGAGCAGCTTCGGCAGACGTCTAAATGTGATAGCAGCAATACCTGGACAAAGGTCAGTGGGTTTCCCCACTTTCTGAAGGAGGAAATTTATTCAAACTGGAAACTTTCTTGGTTGGAGTGAGTCAAACCCTGCCCGCTCATTCACTTCCACATCTGCTGGCTTCCGACCACATTTCACAAAAAATGATAATTAAGTAGCCTATTAACAGTTCATTAGGGTGGTACAAAAAATAAAATAAAATAAAAAATAGAAATATTGTAGCCAGTAAATTGAACTTAACTGTATCGTTTGATAAACAACTTTAAGAAGATGTGAATAATGAGCAACATGGATGTTGCTCATAAGGGTGCTGATAAGGGTCACTATTACAAAAAAAAAAAAGTATAAAACTGTTCGCAAGCAACAGACTGTAAGGTGACATGAACAAAGCCTGGTACTCACCAAAAGGCTCCTTACACGCCATTAAACTGCTCATCTTTAAGACTGAGAGGTCTTCAAGCAGAGAAACAACTGAAGCTGGAGCGAAAGTCTTCTCTCAGGATGATGCCTCGTCAACAACAACCCAGAAAAAAAAAATAAAGCACTCCGATATTCTTCACTGGAAACTCAGAGGAAGCAGCCGAGCCAGCCGAGCGGCGGCGTCTCTCCGGAATGAGGTGAGACGCCTCTGTGGAGACAGGTTACCGCAATTAGTGCTGCCTTCACGTACCCCTCGTCATTTTAACACTCGCCCCCCCACACGCCGCCCCGTGAAGGCTCGCGCCCAGACGTTCCGTTCACCACGACGATGCTGTATTTTGACTTCTCTCTCCGGTAAAAGATACGCAGACGTAGTACATTTAATTTCTTCAAAGCACATCGGATTAATGAGCAGCTGGAGATGATTTAAACTACTCTTTATGCTCGTTTTGATTTCCTGCACCCGCTCACAGTCGCAGATTTCCAACTATGTCATCAACTAACAAACCCAATCTATCAATCTATTGTTATCAGTCTGATCAGCAGGACACATGCTTATTGTAGCACAGGAAACATTAAAAATCTCTGAAAATAGAAATGGACCAACACAAAATTTGAAACAACGGGTTGCTCGAAACTACAAATTGTAAGCAAATCATTATTGAATTATTTACAATCTGATGCAAAGCACTGTAGTCAGCTCAAAGTAGAAACATTACAGAAAATCCAAACTGCAAACAATTTTAAATCTTACAAAAGTTGCAATGCAGTCCAAATTCATCCAAATCAATCAAACACAGTCCTATTCAAATCCAACTAACTGACAATATAGACATCAAGTTATGATATGATGTGATCAGATTCAGCAGATAATGATGTGGCGGGTTATTGTCACGGTTGCTTTTCTAAGAAGAGCCAGCAGATTGCCCTGCTTCACACTGGGAAAGCTGGAGGCGACGGTAGAGAGGAACGCTCCAGCAGAACAAGGCTTAGGATCAACGCTCGTCTGGAGTGTATGCAAAAGGAAAACCAAAACGCAAACACAAAACAAAAATCAACAACATTGCAAAATAATAAATAAGTGGGAATGGAAATAAAATAACACGTAGAACTTGTGATTTATTGTAACAACAATAAACTGAAATTGGTGATGTTAAGAGCATTAGTATATTAAAATGAAAGCCTTGAATGCAATTAGAGTGTGTTGTTCTACAGGAGAATTGCACTGAGTTATGTCACTGATTTGAATAAGAGCTATGCTTTATGTATGTAACCTCAATACGTCTTTCATTTAGAGATGTATCTGTGCTTGTAGGCCATATTCAGTGACAGATATACCAAGAAAAAGGACAGATCAATTTAAAAAATATTTTTTGTCATGCCTGCTGATTATGACAGCAGGCACAGTTGTCCTTTTACAAAAAAGTAAAAGGAGCAACATTTTAAACATTACAGGCAACAGCTTTTAAACTGCTGTTCATGTTTGTGGAGGCTTGCTTGGAATATTAATCGAAATATTTTTGTGTTGTTAAAGTGAAGAAGAAGAAAAAAACAGATTTCCAAGCATAGCAAAGTGAATCATGTATATTTTTTGATTGAACAAGTGAGAACTGTGTCTGTTGAGGAGGAAAAGGAAAGGAAGAATTCTCTTGTGGCGTGAACAGTCTTTGGTATCATGAACACGCCCCTAAAAATTGGCACCGCCAAATGAAATGATGATGTGTTGAGGATAAACGGCCTCCTTTTTTAATGACTCACCAAAACAAAATCCCCAAATATAGAAATGCACAGACAGGGAGATACATTTTTGAGTTGTCTGCAGGAGAACTCAACACTTGTCCTGTTTTGCGTTGTCCCTCTTCAAACTCTTTTAACAAAAAATACTTATGAATATGTCTCCTTAAATAGACCAGTCAGAAAAAGGTAAATCCCTGCTGGGTTTGTGTCATTCAGATTTGATTTTTTATTATCTTTTTAGATTTTTTGTATTTTTTTTTTACCAAAATAAGAGTCATGTTTATTACTGAATATCTCTGAGCCGTTAGAGACTTTGGCTGTTTCCTTTTACCCATTTCAATGCTGAAAGCTGAACTGCCCTTCCCGCCTCAGGTCACTGCACTCTCCAGCAGGTTTTTCTCAAGAGCCTTTTTGTGTTTGGCTGTGCTCGTTTCTATGTGTGTGCTGCTCAACCTCTCCAGGATGATGATAGCATTTCCTCCACTGTGTTTCACTGGAGGAAATGTTGTCGTTCTGCAAATTATAGTCCCAAAGAATCCTCCTCTTTGGTTCTCTTTGACCTTTAAAAATGAAAAATATGACACGATGACATTATTTGTGCAGAGCTGTCCTGAGCGTTGTCGATTTCCCTCCGTTCCGAAGCACTGCGCTTGATGACAAATGACACGTGAATTACATTTCCAGTCTTTTTTTTGGGGGGGGGGAATAAATTGATACTGTGTGCCTAGGAGTTACCTCAGCAACAAATGTACAAGAAAATACAAATAGGATACAGGTGTGCCAGTGTTCCTAGCAAAGTATTTACTCCTTTACAGATTTCTTCTGGCTTTGCATGTCACACTTTAAAGCATCAAATGAAAAATTGCAATTTTTAAATGATGCATTTGCTTATTAAGGAGTAGGATGTATCCAAACCAACCTGGCTCTATGTGAAAACGTAAGTTTTTCAGGGAGTCGCCACCCTAACCTTCTGCATGTTACATATCTCAGCTGCTACACTCACCATTTCCATGTACTTCTTCAACTAAGTCTGTGAGTCTCTGGGCTCTTTTCATCCGAGCTCCTGCACACCGTGCCCTGATGCAACCAAAGTCATGTACAGGAGAGAGACAAAGTCACCGACATCCATACCACTCTAGGAAGGGTTACAAAAATCAGATCTAAGTCTAATGAAGGCGTACCAAAAGTGGCAGCCTTCATCCACAAGTGGGGAAAACGTATAACTCGTTGATGCTTCCCAGGAGAGACAGCAACTCATCGAGGAGTTTACGAGCAACACTGAACATTTCAAGCATTGCTTAAGAGACAGCAGTGGCGTATGAGAGTTCAAAGGTCAATGCACAGCTTTTCAGAACCCTTGAAGAACTTGACAAATACTCCGCTTGAGACATCTGCAACTCAACAGTCAGAATAACTTCACAAGTTTAAGCGCTGGCTGGGCCGATGCACATGATGAGGCAAAAAGCAAAGAAGATTACACTAGGGACCCCTGTTGGATGGCCAAGGAAGCACAATGTTCTTCCTTATTTTATCTTTTCTTATTCTACATTAGCACAGTGCTGTAGAGAAATCAACATGACTTTTCTGAGTACAATACACAAGGTCTTTATTCAGAGTCTTGGAAGTGTCCCAGATCTGATCCTCCATTGGCTCTCCTCCTGAGAGGCATCCTAATCACATAATCAAGCCACCTCAACTGGTCCCAGATCAGAATCAGAACTGGGAGCAGCACCTCCACCCTGGGTTCATGTGGATGAGCAGCAGCTCTACTCTGAGTCTCTCCCAGACGACCGAGCTTTTAACCATTTTTTAACCATGTTCAGCTTACTGTTGACAATGCATACCAATCTCTGACATTGGTCATACGGGGGCCTAATGGTTCATATCAAGAGGCCTGGTGTGTCATGAGTACAGGAATCCCTGAGGGACAGGGCCAAATGCCTTCTCCTTGTTCTCAAAACACAAGGTTGGGTCAGCTCCCGGGATTCCTCTAGAACACTGCAGAGGCAGTAGAGCTGGTCTGATGTTCCACACCCAGTACAAAAACCAAACTGCTCTTCCTGAATCTGAAATTTGATTATTCCTCCTTTCCAGAGCCTGGAACAGACCTTAAAGGGGATTCTTACGTCTGTTACTTGTAAAACATCTCCAGTGAACTTAAGGAAAAGCTCATAAAAATCCTCCATTATGAGGGACTCCATCATTTTCAAAGAAGAAAGCCAAGCTAATGGAGTCCAATAAATCAATGTCGGCTTTGATTTTAGTATCTGACGTGTGAAATTATTTCATGGTGAGGCTGCAGGAACAGGAAATAATTAAATACACAGTAAATTAATTATTCAATAATATATTTATTTATTTCATTTTATCCCTTTGTATACCCAACAAAAGGATGTGAAGGTGTAGATGGTAACTAATATTTTTAATGGGATTCACAGAAGTTTGTACAAGAAATGAGTAAGTGAGAGGGATTAGCTCAGTTCAGACACAACTCGTACACGATCAGGGCAGGGATGCTGCAGAGGAAAGAAAAAAAGTAGAAGATGACAGAAAAAAATATGTTTTTATATATGATATACAATGTATATGTGAAATGAAAGAGCATGTGCAGAGAGCTGTTGCTGCAGAAGATAGGGTGAGCCAATGATCCACGGTGGATAACCCTAAAAAGAGAGGCCTAAATACTCATAAATATCCACCCATGTCTGTTCTGTATGCTTCATTCATGCTTGACTTCCGCTCTCATGTTTTTGGTAATATCTCAAAAATCCGATTCTTCTTGAACGCACCGGCTGAAATGCATACTGATCTCGTCATCACGCACAAGACGTAAGCCGCTTGTCCAATCAGGTGCGGAGATCCCAGCTGAGGAAAGAAGCAGACGATATGGCAGCTTAGAGAGCGACCAGGTGGAACTTGCTTCGTTGACGCGATTAAATGCTCGGCTATGGGAAGCATTTGACTTAGACAGACGGCAGCGGAGGCGACGGCTCAAAATGATTTACCTAATACTGATCTCTGCGCTGTGTGGAGCGGTCCTGACGCTGATGTTACAGTTCTTGCTGATATACAGAAAGAGCCCAGAGCCCTTAGGTAGGACCGTTCAGTACGTCAAAGTAGTGCCTGATAACGCACTGAAAGACTATTTCAATGTCCCTCACGCCGAACCGAACCAGCCAGACAGCGGGACAGCCGCTGCATCCAAACCGCAAGAGGCCGTCTTCAGCCGGCAACAGGAAGCGGCTGTCAGCGGCGGCAGCCCCAAACAACAACAACAGCAGCAGCAGCAGCAGCCTTCACACAGCGAACTCACTGATGCTGGCAGAACAGAAACGTGCAATTTCCTCAATGCCATATTCTTGTTTCTGTTCAGAGAGCTCAGAGACACCCCGGTGGTTCGGCACTGGATGACCAAGAAGATCAAGGTGGAGTTTGAGGAGCTGCTGCAGACCAAGACGGCGGGTCGGCTCCTGGAGGGGCTCAGCCTCAGGGACATTTCTCTGGGGAATTCCCTCCCGGTCTTCAAATCGGCCAAACTCATCAAACCGGTCCCGCAGGACGAGGACGGGATGCCCGAGGAGCTCAACTTCGAGGTGGACATCGAGTACAACGGCGGCTTCCACCTGGCCATAGACGTGGACCTGGTGTTCGGCAAGTCCGCCTACCTGTTCGTCAAGATGAGGCGCGTGGTGGGCAGGCTCAGGTTGCAGTTCACGCGCATGCCCTTCTCCCATTGGTCGTTCTCGTTCCTCGACGACCCGCTGGTGGATTTTGAGGTGAAGTCCCAGTTCGAGGGAAGGCCGCTGCCTCAGCTGACCTCCTTCATCGTGAACCAGCTGAAACGCGTCATCAAGAAGAAGCACACCCTGCCCAACTACAAAATCAGGTAGGCCCCAAGGCAAAGCGAGGTGAGCCCAGACACCTGCAGGAGCACAAAGCTCAGCACTGCAAATGGGTCCAGACAAGAGCAAAAAGTTAAACACAAAACAACCAGTCAGGTGTCACAACCTGACTTTAGTGTGTGACGTACCACTGTGTCAGGCTATTTGTTCATGCACTTTAGAGGTAAACAACAAACAGTCACATTTTCCTGACATATGCTATGTTTCCACCTTGATTCTATTTCTGGACCATTTGATTTTTGGAGATTATGATCTCTGATTTAGACAGAGGTAATTGAGTATTCAGGTCAGGGTCCTGTGCCAATGATGAAGTTTAGATCCGGTTCTGAATCAGCCGAGAGAAAATGGAATGAAAATTTCTTCTTCGTTTGGGGATCAGCAGTGACTCTTAGCAACCTCCTGCTGGTGCATGACATTTGTTGAGGTCACAAAACCCAATCTCCTTTCAGTAGATGAAAGAAAATTATTGCAGTCCGTCAGCTTGAAGACGAAATGTTGCACGGCCAGTTCACAGTGTTGTGTGACAAGTGGCTGTTTTTGTCAAGCTCATTTTAGTCTGGGGCCACGTCAAGATCATGAATATTGTAAAAAAAATAAATTAATTAAATAAATAAAAGACTGGTGTTATAGTAAAAAGCAATTTTTTGACAAGTCTACAAATCCCCTCATTATCATCGTCTTCACAACACATGAATTCAACCCAGGAGCCCACAAACTTCTTAAACAGACTTTTTTATTTTAAATGTTTAAAATGAGCAAAATGGAGTTAAATATGAAGCCAATTTCTGGTATGTTTTCTTTCCATGCTCTAGGTATGTGTGTGTGTGTGTGTGTGTGTGTGTGTGTGTGTGTGTGTGTGTGTGTGTGTGTGTGGGAACAAATTTTGGACCATGACTCAGATTTCCGATAGCTGTCCTCCCACTAGCAGATGCTACTGTTTTCACTGTTGTTAATCATAATGCAAGTTTTTAAACTTGAACAGATGCCGATGGCTCTGTGTGAACAGGGAAATTGGAACTTTGTAAATCTGGACCAAACTCCATTTCTCCCTCCCTCTTGTTTTACCCAGAGCATCTTGTAAGGTTATTGATTTGAAATGAAATCTCTTTTTCATGCTGGACTCATTAATATGTCCCATTTCCAGCCGCTCAAACCGCAGCTGTCTTTGTAGTTGGACTTCATGCTCAGCTGGTTTGCTGAGAATTTGTACTTTAAAAATGTAAATGTATAAATACATACAAAAACAAGTAAAAAATCAGATTATATTTGGCTTTGACATCCCTCTGCAAGTCTCTTATGACAGGATGGGGGCATTTTGATGCAATTTCCTTTTCCTGTTTTTGTTTACACAACTTTAATATGTTCACTTTTTGTCCAGCTTCTTTTTTTTATGAAACTTAGGTAACTATTCACTGTCAGACATCACTAAACATATTTTCTTATGTATTTAGTGTTATGCAATGCCTATAAATCTAATAAGGAATTGTCAGATTATGCACAAAAATAGCCTTACAAACAAAAATGGAAATGCGTTTATCTTTTGATCTGCTGGCATGGAACAAATTTAAAAATGACCTTCGAGTCACAAGCATTTGTATTTCCCACTGGTGAGTAAAAGCAAGGCTAAAAGTTCAGTGGCTGCAATTGTGATTATCAAACAACTAGGATGAAATAGTTCCTCTAAATAATTAATGTGAAAAGAACAAATTGTGTGTAGATTCTTGAAGCACACACAAACTTGGTGTCATGTGGTTCTAAATGTAGTTTTTCAGTCGTGGTTGAGGGGGAAAATAGCTATGGGTCAGACTGCATTTTGTGAATTAAACAAGAATATTTAGAAATGTTTGCATAACTGCGTAAAACATCTGTTTAACACTTACACAAAGCAAATCGCAAGAGAAAACATGCTCAAGTCTTTCAGTGAGAAAAGATTGAGAATAAAGATTTTCAGATTTCCAGATGGACTAAAATCGAAAGAAAATCAACAGGATGTGTAGATGAATAGTTCTCTCTTTCTCTGGTGCCCAGACTAACACAACTGATAGAGTACGTAGTCTCGACACTGTTCATAAGGAACAAAGTGAAAGAAATGGAGCGTGAAAAAGGGAAGCTGAAAGAGTCAGAGTGAAAGGAAGTCTTGAAAATGGATTTTTGGTTTTGTTTATCAGGTTTAAAATGATGATCAGTGCAGCAGAGGCCATTTCCACAGAACTTTGACCTTCTATGACTATTAAAAGGCAGTGTTATGTGTTTTCCAGACACATTGCACCATTTTTTAGCATAATAACTATGCATTTTTGTTATAAAATGCTATATATGCTAAATCAAATATGACCTAAAATAAATACTAAAATAAACTCCCCCATCAACCCTTCAGCAAAGCTTTTATCAGCGTCACAGTTAGAAGCAGCTTGTACAATGAGATGCCCAGTTCCACCAGGTGGTTGCTAATTGCTGCTGGCTAGTCTGAAGGATCTGAGTTGGGAGTGAGGGCTGCTCTGTGAGGTGGAAGCTCTGAAGTGGAGCTGCACCTCAAAGGGGGCGCTCGGTCCACCCAGGCTTTCACAACTGAATGGCTGCCATGGTGATTAACCTTTTTTTTTTTTCTCAACATTTAAACAGAAGATTCAAGACGGCCCTCCAGTTCCGTTTTCGATAATGGCGAAACATTATAGAATGACGCAAAGCTCCAAAAAGTCGATTTTGCATGATGCCGTCCCTGCATTGAAGGTGGTGCGCCATGTAACCAGAGCCGTTGCGTAAAGTCTGTTGTTAAAAGGGAAGTTTCACTGGCAGCTGCTCTGTAACAGCATCACTATCACCCTGCTGCTTCCTCCTTCCTGAGCCCGTCCTGCTGCAGAACGTGGGCCGTTCTGCATATTTCTGCAGCTACATTATGAAAACATAAAGTGAAAGTGCTTATCATTTTTAAACCTGATAAGCAAAACCCAAGATGCAAGATTTCCTTCTTCTCACTCTGACTCTCTCAACTTCCCTTTTTATGCTTTCTATTTTTTTTGACTTCCTCACTTTTCATCAGAGAGGATGTACTCTGCGTTGAAATGGCGGCATCTTCTAGAAATATCTGCTGAGGTCCAGGTTCCTCACAGAAATTTAAGTGCACTAATTTTGGCAGAGCGCTCTTCCAAGTAGGGCTGGGAGATGTCGCTTCCAAATAAAATCTGATTCTTTTTATTATTCTAAATCTGGTTTTTAATTTATAGTTTTTTCCCCCTCTTCTTAAAAAGATCTCTAAGCCCGGTGGTTGGGTGCTGGGCAGTCCTTCATCCCATCATATTTTTGAGTTAAAAAATGTTGAAAGTTGGCAGAAAATTTGAAAATATCCCTTGGTAATTATGTTGAAAGATGGGAAGATTAATACCTGAACACCCACTATAAAGTCTTAAAAATGCAAACATGTTAAAAAGACTTGAATACATCATTGGAGGAAACTCTGAGATGTGTTGCAGTCATCCCTTTTGGGAGTTGTCTTGAATTCAAAGTACATGCTGTAAAACTGCTTGTAAAATATGATGATTGGCCCAGAAGGACTCTGAGCTATGGAAGTTCAAGGAACTTTAAAAAAAAAAAATATATATATATATATATATAATATATATATAGATAATATATAGATAATAGATATAGATATATATAATATATATAGATAATATATATATATTTTTTTTATGAAAATTGAAATTTTCATAAAAAGAAGAAGGGGAAAGAAGACTGCAGTAACTGTACTATGCTGAGACAAAAGAGGGCGGGAAACAGGACTGCAAGATTTCCCCAGAAAATCAATGTTAGTCAGGATTGATGTGGGTTCATGTGCCACACTGAACTATTGGAGACCACTGATAGATGCAGGTAGGGGGCGCTGTCAAGCAGAGATTCCTGCCATGATAGTTGATCAGCCTAACCCTGACTTTCATCAGAGTGATTTAAGGAGATGATTGGTCACATACCTGTTATCACAATGACTCGATGCATAAAGTGCAGATGACAAAAGGTCAGTGTTATTTTCACTGAGCTTTAGCACATTTACAAAGAATGGCAGAAAATCCTCCAAGGTGAGTGTGTAAAAAGACTCTGGGCTTTTTACTCTCATTGGACTTTATTAAAAAGTGATAGGCAAAGGCTCTAAATAGTTACATACATGCAATATTTTTTTTTCTTTTTATAGTTAAAAAAAGATCTTAATAAAATTTTCATAAGCTTCAATTTCCCCCTTCTGTATGCTTTCAGTGCAAATTTACTGTGACTGTAAAACCTGGCGAACACTTAAACTATAACTGAAAGCCCACATTTATTCCACCAAATAATTTACACCATCTAATAAACAATTTTGCAAGTAGTGCATCATTTTCGAAAAAAAAAGTTTTTTTTTTCTCCAAATAGCCCCATGGCTGGCTGTTTAATACTGTGCTTTTGTCTTTCTATCGTGTACTGAAAATGACCGCGTAAGCAGACACACGCGCACACACACTCCCACGTGCCCCCCACTCCACACACACTCCCACGCACCCACACCCTCCACCCACACCCCCCACCCACTCCACACACACACTCCCAGCCCTTACAAAGCAGATTTGCAGCTTAAAAGATCTGAGTTTCTTTCTCTAATACTTAATGGTTCACATCTTTCTTTTGCTCGCAAAGATCTGTCTAGAGAAGGGAAGTGCTGCAAAAGAAAGTCTGAACATGCGCGTGTGAGTGTGCATTATCTCCTGATCATGTAGAGTGAGTGTGTTGGGGTGATGTAATAACAAGGCCTTGGGATTTGCTGAGCGGCACAGATGGTGGTTCACAGAAGGGGAGGGTTGGGACCGCAGCCTTCTGGAGGCGATCCAGGCATTACTGCGAACAGCAGTCAGCTTCACATATGGGGGAATACTCTATTTGATGTCCACTGTGCTGCGTGGCTGTTGCTTCACTGGGATCAGAGTCGCCTTATCTTGCTTGTTATAAAAATGAAGTGAAAGTGTTTCCCCACAGCTTCATTGGTCTTTAGACTTAAGTATTATGCCGCTTGGAATGTTCTGTTGCTGCAAAGTCTTGTAGCATTTTGTTCTTGTCAGCATAGCTTTAAGATTTAGCCTAAATCACTGTGCTTGCCTCCAATGTGGGGAGAACGTGGCCCGTCCAATCTCGCTATGTGGGGAGTGACTGCTGCCCTCCACCTCCTATCGGACGCGTTGTGATGTGCAGGAGTTTCTCCAGCCCTGCATTTGAATCACTAGGGGTGATTGACCTCAGATGTTTGTCATTAAAGCTGGTGTTCTGTGGACCTTGCTTAGTGATGCTCACTTCCTCTTTGATTGCACCAGGTAAGGTGAAAGTTTCACTGAAACCTTCTGCTGTGTCTCGCCCTTTTCTCCGCTATCAAGTCTCACTCAAACCTATTAATCTCTGGGTCGGTCTAGTCAGGTCTGAAGCGTCTCCATCGATGTCTGTTCCTCACTATAGTGGGAATGAATCTGAGCAGGAATGTGGGAGGGCAGGAGCAGTGACACTCGGGAATGAAAAAGCTTGAGGTCGGGGTTTTAAAGGACTCTAATAAGCCCTGATATTTCACTTTTCTAAAGGAAATTAATGGCTGGCACAAACATAATGAAAACGGTTCATTTGAGCTGATTGGTTTACTCTATATATGTACATAATATCTGTCTATATTGTTTCACTTTATTTTGTATGAGTGTGCAGTCTTTGAATCCAGGTGAAGCAGTCAAAAGATTTATACCAATATCCATGTATGAACTTTATTGAAACAAAAAACCCAAAGAAGAATAACAAACCAATGTTGTTTTGTCTTTAGAGCCCTCAGGTCATGCGGAAATTGTTTCTTTTGCGTTTCCTCACAATGAATATTAATTTTCCTTGCAATGGGATTTACGTTCCCTTTCAATAAATTAGCAAAACCATTTGATTAATCCGTTAATTAACCTGTAAAAATAACTCAATAGTCCAAATAGTTTGGATGCATTTTTATCCTTCTTTCCTTTATTCTTAAGGCAAGTTTCTGTTCATAACTAAGGAATGGAAAGAGATGGAAAACTTGTAATCGACCTGTTTTGCTTTTGTATTCTGTACATAAGTTTGTGGCGCATTTGTGTCTTAACAAAAAATACACAAGTCTGCACATATCTCACTGAGATGACGTTCATAAAAAAACCCTTTTGTTGCAGCACAAAGGCTTTGACATATGCAGCATCTTGAATACCGAAAGCATTGTGAGTGAATGCAAAACGTATTACGTGGAAATGCAAAAAAAAAATGGCCATGTGAGGCAAGGTAATTTTATTTATATTGCACATTTTTAGCAACTAGGCAATTCAAAGTGCTTTACAAGAATGAGAAGAAAATGCAAACAAAATAACAAACCAAAGGAAAGAGCAAAAGAAGAAAAAGTATAAAACTACATATTAGTTCCCCATGATTAAGAGTCAGTGGTCCGTAACTTATAAAATTAGAAAGGGGTTTCTCTGGATTCTCGTAGCACAAAAGAAATAAAAATCACCCATGTTCCTTAGAGGGCTCCGTAGGTTTTGGTGTTCACATGAGCCGGCGCAAAAACTGTAACTAGCTCCAGCAGAACGCTGGCCAGGAGTTGCACCTTTCTGACTTCTGTTTGCAAGATCATTCTGCTCCAAACGTTGACATGTGTTCCTGACACTTCTCATAATTGCACTCATCCCGCACTGATCAGATCTGTGACACCATCTCCACCAGGCCCAGTCTTTGCTCATGTAAACGTTTTAAAAAGACTTGAGTGATGCTTGGCTTGGTGGGGGCACAAGTAAAGCCTGGTGGCCCGCCAGGCTTATAATAACTGGGAGAAACCGTGACTTTCTGTAAAAATATATGGCACAAACACAAGCTTTTTAAAGCAACATTAACTCCAAACAGGTCAGGTTTGATAATGTAGACGACCACATGTCTATAAATACCAGTGCATGGTTGTGGAAATGGTTTTGGCTCTGATGGAGAATATATGAAGGATTCAGAGATCATAATGACCTACTGGCACATGACGATGAATGACTTATGGCTCTGCACAGAACTGGCCCCCAGCCTTACAGAGGAGAGTCACCTGTTCAGGTTCTCACTACTCTGGGTTTCCTAGCGACCGGAGCATTTGTAAAGGATGTCAGCTGAGCCACGCCGGCCATATTGAATGGCCTCATTTATACGTTGTCTAAGATACACAAGTTAAAAACAATGCTATTGACTGCTAATGACAGTGTCGCAGTGTTTCAGCTGTTTTGCTGTTTTCTGGAAGTTTGTTCCAGATTTGTGGTGCATGGAAGCTGAATGGCTTTTCTCCATGTTTGGTTATGGTTCTGGGGACGCAGAGGGTGGTTGACACAACAACAGCAGATCTGTAATGTATTTTTGGTGTTAAGCCATTCAGTGATTTATAAACAGAAGTACTTTTAAAGTCTAGTCTCTGTTCTTGGGGGAAGTGAGCGATCTCACCAGAAAACCTGCAGCAGGTGCTTCTGTTAAGTGATTCTGTGTTGTAACGTAGACTGATTAAAGATTAAAGGGTATGTGATGCAGGTGTCAACATAGCCAGTCGGTCAGGGTTAGATAAAGGGTGTAGCTCATAGTGAGACATCTTACTAATGAGACTAATTTTAACTTGCCACTTGAATCTGACAGATCCTATAGAGGGAGCTAAATAATGACAAACTGAAACTCCTTTGGCATCAGTTTCTCATAAATCATGCATCATATCTGATCAAAAATAAACATCTTGCTTGAATGAAAATGATGCATCTAAATAATGAGGTATAATAATGAATAGCTTTGGGCTTAACTTTACACAGAATACTTAAAGAAATACAAACACCTGCAAACTTCAAGTGTCTGTAAATTAGAGTTTATTGTGCATAAAATGATCTCCTTTTCTGCTTCTTTACCATGTTGCCCTGGCTACAGCCTCCAGGGGAAAAGGCCTTGGTGTTGTGGGTCATCAGGTTCAATGCAAGCTGTCTCCCACGGAGGCGGGGCTTAGGAGATGTCTGTATATGGGCGTATAGTATTATTGCTGTTGATTTAATGCAGCAATCAAGGTGATGCTTTGGGGTTTCCCTGTATGACTCAAAGAGAGTAGTAAATGTTTGAGGCCTTGCCACACACCCTCGCTGACGATCTCTAGGAAGAGTTCAATGAAAAATGAACTAGAATGGATTCTAGCTGTGTTTACGTGAATTAGCCTGAATTTTATGCACCAGGATTTGAATTGAACATGATTATTTACTCTGTGTTGTTGAACTGTGTGCAGTGAGTTTTTAATTTTAAGATTTAAAAAAAAACTTTTCTCTTTCTCTCTGCAGATACAAGCCCTTCTTTCCCTTCCAAGTGCAGCCTCCGCTGGGCTCAGCCTGCGATTTGGATCTGTCAGTCCAGGACAGCAGGCTGGTGGAAGGCAAACTCAGAGTCACTCTTATTGAATGTAGCAGGTGACACACTTTCACTTCATCTCTTACTTGACTGACCTGGACAGACTCTTCTGTAGAATACCGGACCAGGTTTACACCATGTCTCTCGACATCTTTTGGTCCGACCACAACGTTTCGGTCGTGTCTACGGACTGCACACATTTGTCAGTATTAAGAGTGAAGCACCGGAGTGTGTACATGTAAAATTTCACCCCCCCCAAAAAATTCTAAATCAAATAAAACTGTAGTCCTCAAAAACTCTCAAAACAGTCACCTGATATACTCAGGTTTGCCAAAAAAACAAAACAGTTTTTTTTATTTGTGAAGTTGTCTGGTCACCAAATGCATCATGCTTTGTCATTTAGTCAACAGAAGCTAAACCAAAGGGAAGGAGAAGTAGACGTCCACCATGTGATTTAGCAGCTTGTGAATTCAGGGTTAGCAACATCAACTTGACACCATCTTTATCTGCAATCCCTTTCCAGTTTCATTAAATAATATTCTAAATGTAAAAGAAATTTCCTTTATTGTCTGTCAATAACTGCGTGACTGCAGGCCTTTTTTCTGTCCTGTTCTGTAATTAGAACTCCACTTAGCATTACACAATCTGAGTGGTAAGTACAAATCCTTCACACTATAAACTTTATGCCCCTCATTCTTTTTTAAGTTTTGACATCACTTTTCACCTGTAAATCTAACCAAAAGGCAAAATGCTATAAGAAAGGAAAACATTATTTTCCAAATATTGCTTATGCTGTTAGTTAAAACCAACAGTCTCACGAGCTGACTGGGATCTTCTGGGTTTATTCAAACATTCTGCTCTTCTGAAGTCACCCGATTTCTCCAGATCTGTGAAGGTGTATTTTCTGTTTCACCTTGATACCTGGCCTTTTTGATGCAGCTGATAACTGCAGCATGTAGTGAGCTCATCACTAAGGACGCTGTCAATCTTGAAAAATCTCGCCTTTCTAAACCTAGAATGTTGACCGTTTGTGAAAGCGTTTTATGAATTAACTAGAGCCTGTTGTGTCAGAGGGGTGTGTGTGAGAGGAGCTTAGCTACGAGTGTGTTTTATGGACCACAAATGATTGGATCAACGTAATCTAGTAATAACAAGAGTTTTCCATTAAAATCATCTCCTCTTTCTCCGGCCTTCTCACTCACTCTTGTAGCTACGCCCATCTTTATTAGTGCTTTTATTTCTTTTTAGTTGTTTTTGAATATTTAACAATTCATAGAGTACTGTACAAAGTAAAGGGAAAATAAAATTACACTTACATACATATATTTGAAGTTTTATACATGTATAATGAGTGAGCTTGGCTATGTCGGTGTGATGCCCCACCCCTATTCTTTATTTTACTTCCAATGTAAAGTCCCATACAAGTTATGACTCTTATAACTTCTAATGTATATCTCTCCCAGGTTGTTATTAGTTACATATTAGGTGACAGTTGTCCATTCTCATAGTCTTGCTTCAAACCACTTGATCCATTACTGCCACCTTGTGGTTGTGGTTAGCAGCACACTACTGAGCATAAAATCAGCTTCCAAAATATAGGGGGATTTTCCTGCCATAAGTCGAAAGCACACATTTTCAGTCTATGAAGCAAAACTTCCTGTCTTTGTTCTCAAAACTTGAGATAGTTGCACTCAAATCTTCTGCTCCCTTTCAACCTGTAGCGACCTGCACCGCCACGATAGATATATCTATCTACGTATCCATCTAACAATATAGACATGTTTATCCATCAATCAATATAGATATTGAGCCACAGAATGGATGGTTCTGTGAATCCATTTTCTTTGGTTGGGTGATCAAACTCCTGCCTGAGATCTATAGGCTGTCAGCAATGCTTTCAGACTGAACACGTAGGCACAAGTATGATAAGTTTTGAGAACAAAAGACATAAAATCCTGCTTTCAGACTGAAAATGTGTGCTCTCGATTCATGGCAGTAAAATCCCTCCGTACCAAAACAAGTTTCAAACCTGCTTACATTGGCGGACTCTCTTGACTGACATTTCCTTGGCCTTCCTCGGCCAGAAGGATTTTCCTATCAGAGAATGGCTTCCTGCGGGTGTCTTAGTGATCTCACTGTTCCTGTCTGTGTCTGCAGACTGTTCATCCTGGGCTCTTATGACAGAGAAACCTATGTTCATTGCACACTGGAGCTGAGCAGCCAGCAGTGGAAGGAGAAGACACGCAGCTCCATAAAGCAGGTATGCCATTTTTCCATTCTGTCCACTGTTCTCCTCCTGTCTGGTCTTCTTGTCCTGCTCTTGACTAATTTACGTAAAACGCAGAGAAGAAGCAGAAGGAGCTCTGACATCGATGGGCCAGATGCGTTTAGTTCAGCCTAGGTTGGGTCAGATAACCATATCCCCCAAATCTGGAACAACCTGCTGTCAAGTCTTTTCAAACAAAAAAACTCACCTTTTCTGGAATGGTGTTTTTTCAATTCAGCAAGTTTTTTGTTGTTGTATCAATTTAATATATTGATTTTAATATGCTGAGTATAACATTGATGCTGAAGAATATAGAAGGCCACATTTGTTAGTAAAGATGTTTGTAAAGTTTTAGAATCATCTAATTTTTTCTTAAAGTAGCGTAACTGCAGCTTTGATCGGAGGAGCATTCATTCTGAACAAAATCTAATGGAAAAAAAATATTTGTAGTAATTGTATGTAATAAAAATAGTAGTTATGTTTGTTGCAATTGTGATTGGTACGATTGTTCACTTTTCTAACATTTAGTGCAAGTAGATATAACAGAAGGATGTTTTCGTTTGTGCTTTACCTTTTAAAATTGATCCGATTTCTTGAAACATCCAATTGGTAATTTTTCATTTCCAATCTGCCTGGGTTACATACATCAGGGTTGCACTGACAACCCTGACATTATCAGTGCAACCCTGAAATGGATTTGTGTCACCGGGGGTTTTTGTTTTTTTCTTCTTCTTCTGATCATTAAAATACACTTTTTTTCCCCTCCTGTTTAGAAATGCACTTAAATTTTGTTCTTTTTAGTATTGGATTGTGCTGCGATAGTGACAGACGAGTTTAAGTCTTTTTTTTTTTGCAGCTGAACATTTTACGGACACTTTAAATGTCTCATGAGCCAGAATTGGTTTTCTCTGCTAATACCTCAACACATCCATTTCCAGCAACAGATCACTGTATAAAATACTCAGAAGCAAACTGATCACAGTGCTGGAATATTTTAAGAGATGCTGTACTGCTCATCACAACCAGCAGATGGCGCTGTACTGTTGTAAGTCCACTAAAGGCAGAGATGAAGGGACATCTGTGGGTCATTGTATTCTAATTGAGTAAGCTCTGCTGACAGTTTAGACATAAATGCCAATTTAATAATACACAAAAACTTGCAATGTGGGAAAACTGTAGCGCACAAACATTTCCTAGTTGTGTGCCGCTTATTGGAAAACGTTGACAAAATGACACATTAATAAAAGCTCATCGTCATCTTCTCTGCATTGATCAGATTGTTCCATTGTTGACATTTTGCGAGGCGGAGGAAATCTTCAGGCCCCCTGCAGCAAACCTTTCTAATTGTTGCAATTTAGAGGTATTACAGTCATCACATCAGGCTGCTTTGGAAGTGACTAATGACCATTTTAGGGAAAAATGTCACACCTAATTACCGGCCGAGGCTCCAGCCAACCTGCCGCTGCCGAGCTGTCCACACACCTCCCAGTGGCATTTGTAAAGGCTCACAGATTATTTCTGTTGAACAATAATAACCTTTTGTCAGTTCTCATGTCGCGCTTTTCAATAAGGAGAAGCAGCTGAGAACCCGTCCAGCAGGGGGCAATAAAATACCACAACCTGCTCTGAGACAACGTAAGCCATTCATGTCCCCTCAGAGCTGCCATTTTAAAACGTCTACTCTTTTTATTATTCTGTCTTGGTTTCTACGCTGCAGACAGAAACAGTCAGGTGATTTATGTAGTTTGCTCTCATATCAAACTTGCTGTTTTTATTTTATTCATGATTTCAGGAGACATTATGTGGTAAGAAAACAATATTCAACAATGTCCATAGAGCCTGCCTGGCTCCAACGGGGAAATGTCTTAGTGTGTATGCTCTAATTTGTGCTTCCTTCTCTCTTATGTGACCTTTAACCTTTTCGGCCATGTTATTTGTGTCCAGTGTGAGCTTTTGCTGTGATGAAACTCTGTAGTCTTAATGTTAATGCAATATTTAGCCAACAGTACAACTTCAGAACTCGTAAAATATATCAGCCAACAACTATTGGAAAGCGGTCCTTTGTGAAATGCATATGGCGCACACTGATACTGTGATGGTGATATATTTTTGAAATATTGCGTCGTCCCAGCTCTAAATGCACAAAGCACAACAAAAATCTATCCTTACAATAAGGATAAAGTGATGATACACACAGGTAGGCCTATCAAATAAATTTTGCTGGACAATAAATTGTCCCAAACGTTATTGTGATAATCAGTAATATCATTAAGACCCTTTTCAAATATTATAATGATAATGGCATAATAATGCAGGAACATATTCTCCAAGATCAATAAGTTTTCAATTCTAATAAACATTCAAAACTGGAACTGGAAGCCATTTAAAATATCCAAAATAACAAAAACAACAGCAAAAATAAATGAAACGAATTATGAGGGTTCCTTCATAAAAGGGCTCGTTGGAACCAGTGCACCAGACTGAAGACCTTTGTCATCCAGTTTTTTGTAGAAAGAGGGAAAGAAAAGGAGAAAAACTGTAAATCATGCTTGTTTTAATTGATCATCTGACTGATTGATTTATGGCTTTTTGTGACAGGCCTACATGCCGGATGTTCATTCAGCAGCAGTGTGTCCAGCGACAGTCTGCCTCTCTGTCTGTACGTTTAAACTTCAGGAAAAAAAAAAAAAAAAAAAATACATTTGTCTACCTGCTTAAAGCTGCTTTATGCAATTTATGAGATTTCTGTGTAAATGTCTAGGGGTGAATATGCAGAGTAGAATCAGAATCAGTCGTCTCCATGAAGTTTAAGGTGGTGGATGTTGCTGTAAAACATCAAATTGGTTTTATTTGTCGAGTTGCACAAGATCTCTACTGCTGCAGAGTTTGCTGTATGGCTCTCAGCTTTTGGCTGAAACGGAGAGGCAGACGTGAATGAAGCAAGCTGTCCCATCATCAGGTGAAGGTGCAGGCAGCTCTTCTATCGGTGAATACTGTGTGAACCGTTCCGTCTCTGCACTCGAGCGGTTTCGCCCTCAGCACAGCCCTCTATGAGTGGACCCACTTCAAAGTGTCCGTATTCCTTTTTTGTTAATAGAGGCACACAAATGCAGATTCCTAGTGGCATTTGAGCCTGATTTATCAGCCCTCCCCAGTCTGCATGTCCTCAGCAGGACTCAGTAGTAAGGATTAAAGACTATACCATCTGCAAAAGGTCAATTCACCCTCTTTCTCTGCTGTTCCCCCTTGAAGATGCCCAGATATAAATATCTGCCCAAAAGTATAACGGTTTTACCAACATGCTCTGCTGTCCTCTATGTGGTTTGTCTTTCTAAACCTGGTTAACTGGGATTAGTTTTAATTTCTCCATCTTCCGTCTTAAGTGTTTTCAGCAGGACAGAATCTCCATAATGGAGACAAGCCGGTTTTATCAAGCTTTTTGTTTATTCATTTTTTCCCCCAAGCATCATGCCCCCTTCCCCCTGCTATTTATTATGAACTATTGCTGATAGATTTCGGGGCTGAAATATCTTCTCTTGGAACACAGTTGCTCTGTGTTTGTCTCTCATTGACTTGTTTCAACTCAGAGCTTGTTCTTTTTGACACAGAAAATATTTGAAATCTAATGCAGTGTGTTTATTCAACATGTTAGTTAAGTCTTCCATCACTATAATACATAAAGTCATAAATAAAAGTAAGCTATAATAATACTGATTAAGCCACTGCAATCTTTAGAGACAGACTTCTGTTTTAATTGATGCAGACTAGAAAATTTATTTTTTCATCTTTTGCTGTAAAAATAAAAAAGTCATTGTAAAGAGTTCATGAATCAGCTGACCGATGGTCAACAGATTCGCTCACCATTTGTCTTTGTATCATAATCAAAATGGATTATTGACTACAATAATCCATATCATCATTGGCATGGAATAATTGAAAAAACTGTTGGATCATAATATGAAGTTTTGTTTTAAGTTTAGTTTATTTTGCAGGGTATACAGACAGATATTCACTCCTAGTGTAGTATTATTCGCTGGAGTTAAACCTGGCCAGGGATTTTTTACTACAAACTATTGTTTACCTGCTGATTTACTTGCTGAAAGCCAGCCATTAAATGTATAAATATAACTTGCTACACAAGAAATGGCTCCATGAGCCATGGGGACACACCTTCAGCTTGTCTAAGTCTTTAAGCTTCTCATAATAAAATCTCGCTGTTCTGTTTTCGTAGAAAATTGTGCTTTTCTTTTTATTATTACCCATCCATGGTGTGTTGTGTTTTAAGTGGTGAGGTGCAGTATGTCAGGCATGTTTGCACATCTGCCTTGTCGATTTCATTTTCAGCCCTCAGTGATGATGCTTGCTGACAGCTTAACTGAAGGGGCAGAGAAGGGGGATGTGTGTGCACATATAAGCGTGCTGGTCAATGCCCTGTTGTGTTGCAACACTTGTTGCTCTTGGTGTATTCGCGTCGCTTGAAAGGAAAGGGGCATGTTTGGATTTCCGACTGCATGAGCCTGGATTTTCCACTGGACGCTGTGATAGAATAGGAAAACTAAAAGCAGTTGTAAACGTTAGATTTAAATTTAATGAGCTCATGATAGTTTATGCCTTTCATTGTAGCAACATATGTTGAAAAACCTGTTGGCCTTGAGCCCGTGTTAGCGAGATCCAAAACCTACTAGTCCCTGTCTGGAATAAGATGTCTTGAATTTGATGTGAATGATAAACTCTGTCGTGTTGTTTATGTGTTTTGTTGGGAAACACAAGCTCTGAATGATATTTCAGATTTGCTGCTCCAGTCATTTAGTGTCAACCAGCTAATATTGGCATCGTCGTCATTAAGCAGCTAACACATTGACACCACAGCATGTCAGCAACGCTTGGAGCACAAACCTGATCACACAAACTGACTTCATTCATTAAATTTGATGAGGTGATTGTCGTTAATTAATACCTCTATCTCTGGCTTGATGATGGAGTTGTAAATCGCC